AAGAGGCCAACCCCCTCCCCCCACATCATATATGATCATATATAAAATATATATATATAATTATATATATATAATATCATCTCCAGATACCCCCCTAGGATATTATGTAATATCTGTCATTGCCCTTATTTGTAAAATTAATATTTTTAATATATTATAGATTAAATATAATATTTTCTCTAATTACATTTTCTAGTAGTTAGATTACAAATAAAAGTATGAGCTTTTATTCTTATATATAATTTTTACTTTTTATATTTTATATAATTAAAGATTAGCAACTCTTTGTAGTTACCATATTAAAACTATTAATAAAGATATAAGCAAAACCTTAATACCAAAAAAAAAAATAAAATAAAATAAACTTTTAATAAAAAATAATCAAATAATTAATACAGTATTGCAAATTATACTAAAAATAAAATTATAATACAATAAAAAATAAAGTCTAAAAACTATTGCATTTAAAATTTAAATCAATTTTTTATTATTGCAAGATCCTAAACTTTAATCCTAAAAAAATTTTACTATATATTTTACAGAATTTGACAATTTTTAAAAAACTATTTTTTTTTTTTAATTAAATCATAATTCTGGTCAGAATTTTCACTACGTATAATTCGATTTTACTATGATTAGTAACAATTAACAACCTGCTCTTATTTTTTTGTAATTTTACCAAATTGCCAAATATGTTTGAAAATAACCTAGTAAATCAGAATTTTTAAATAAAGAAAAGTTTTAATTAAATAAATCAATCTTGAATATAAACTCTAGTAATCAAATATATATATATTTTTTACAATAATAAATAGAATAGTTTTTTTAGTTATAAAAAATATAACTTCGCGATATAATTGGTTACTACGCAAAATTCTTAAGTGTTCCTGGGATAGCCAATTATTATAAAGCATTCCAAACGACTAAGTAAAATACAAAGTCATTTTAAGTGATTTATCACTCATGTAAAAAGCAAGATCCGTATTTCAAATAACGATAAATATTATGCAAATGATGTACTCATTATGAACTGTTATCTTAAATGTATGGATGTTTTTTAATATATTAGGAAACGGTGACCGTTATAATTCTGGATAAATGATTTGTAAAAAGCAGATCATATAAACATAATTGCCGAATTTATAATACCAAATTAAATAGACACGAATCAAAGACTAAATAGACACAAATAAGCAATATTTAAAAAACGAAAGTGGACTTGAATTTATCCATTAAAGTCCATATCGCTCATGAAGCCTCTGCCTTATATGTTGTGGGAAATGATTTGTGTACGCTTCCCAATTAGGACCCATCATTTGCTTGAAACCGTTCAGAATCTATAAAAGAAAACTACATGTCATTAATTTGATCAAACATTAATTAAACTTCAGAAAGACTTCTTACCTTACGAAATATTTCATTTAGTTCATCCGGCGGTTGTTGCCATTGAACAACCGCATCGCAAAAATATAGGAAACTCTGAAGTGTACAAAAAATGTAAACTTAATACAAAAGAATTTATTATGTAACTTCATTCATTGAACATCAATGAAAATAACCTTCGCAATCCCATTAGGGTTGACTTGAATCATCTCACATAGACCTCGAAAAGCAGTATCTTTTTCGTCATTATCGCGAATCGACCTCAAAGCTTTACACCTGTTGTAAAATAAATAAAAATAAAACGTATAATGATATTTAATTACTTCTTTAATAGAAATTAAACAAAGCGAAAGATACAATACCAAGCTTCAGAAAATACATCTAAGTGTGGTGCAACCAATTGTGGGCACACCAAACCTAATCTACCAATAGTAATTCCAGCGTTTTCCAAAAGGGTTCTAGGAGTAGTTTCACTTGTCAGAAGAGGAATCAATCGTTCCAACAGGGGAGGAATCCATGGTTGCATTTCAGAACCTAATTAATTGAAATACATGCAAATTTAAAATTTTAAATTGTAAACAATAATATCGATCATAATTCAAAAAGAATAGCATACCGCACTGCAACGCGATTTCACCAGCTGCCCATGCAGCATTGTTACAAACACTAACATGTTCAGCGTTTGGATCAACTTGACTAATCAGATCGACCATGAATTGATTAAGAAAAGGTTTGATATGTGTGAAACAAGCAATTGACAGATCTCCTAAAAGCGCATAGGCAGATTGTCGAACCTCAGCGACTGGATCCTGTATATCAATATACCATAAGCAAGCATACATTTTAAAGAAAAAAGATCAAATAAAATAAATTGACGTATTGACGTACTGTTAAACAGACGCTTAGCAAAGACAATAATGATGGGGTGCTATTGGATACAAGAGCCTCGATCTGATTTCCTAACCCTTGCGTTAAACCACTTAATAAATCCAACGCAACGATCATAAAATCCTTATCCGGCATGTCCAACGTTGGATTTTGTTGGTGTAGCTGATATTGAACCAGAGTGTTATGAATCAATTTGACACAACGTTCAAAAACTGGTTGAGCAAAAGGCTGGAATCCCAATCCAAGAGCTGTTGTGACAGACGACAAACACTACAATGATTATATTTTGAGGCTTGTAAGTCATAAGGAAATGAAGTAGATAAACTTGAAAGAAACGTGTTTTGATATATTTCTGCAAACCTCTAATAATGGAAACAAATCTCTATCATCATCCTTAAGCAAGTGCCATTTTTCGATAAGCGGCGGCATGAGAATGTCTATGTGCTCTTTTTTATTAAGCGCTCCACTAACGGAATCGGCTAAGGTACCAATAGCATCATAAAGGATGAGCAAGTTTTTGTGTTGATATTTGGTGAAAGCAAAAACAAGATTTCGAAGAATTGGATCCAAATAAGGAATGAGTAACTCGCAAGCTTCCTCTTCAAGAGTAGCGAAGGCGCTACATGCCGCTTCCTGAACGCGCTTATTGTTGTCAAGAACCCTATGTAAGAGCTTAAAGTGAATAAAAAGGAAAAGTAATAGTAGGGAACAAAAAACCCAATGTTATATGATCTAATATTTTTTAATTTTAATGCATGATGGTAAAATATGATAAATAACTCACCCCGACCAACAAAGGTTCGAAGTATTTTGATCTATCTTGCGGTGTATTGGAAGGATTTACGCACCATCGAGAATAACGGCCCAAGGTCCAACATGTAATTGAACGGACTAGAGGCTAAACAGCAAATGAAGCAAACTATTAAAATTTGGTTGTGTAATATTGTTTTATACAAGAGACTCATTCAAGGGTTGGAACACAAAGACACCTTGGGGTCATTAAGAGTTTGGATAAGATAGGGGACCAAATTTTGTAAGTGAGGTTCCACTCCATCCATGCATCCTTTTTATTTTATTAGCATAATAAAGCGGATAAACAGAAATTACATGTCAATAGATAACGAAACAAAATAATAGTTTACACACTCCTAATCTTACCTTCAGATACAGCTCCAAGAGCTAAGATTCCACATTCTCGATGCTTCCACTCTTGATGAAACAGTTGCTCTCGCAAGAATGGCAATAAAATTTCCAGCAATACATTACCGAAAACGGTAGCAAGTACATCCAACGCAGCTGCTGAACATTTTCGAAGATTCCACTCAGAATAAATATCGTCATCGTCAATGTCGTCATCATCATCCTCCTCCTCCTCTTCCTCTTCACGACTCGCAGGTACGGAGGCTTCGCCGCCATTTGTTTCTGTGCGTTCAAATGTGTGTGTTTTTGCCCGATGAAAACGAGGTTTAATATCTGTTTCACTATCAGGAACGTCGGTATCATCTTCATCCCCTCCAAGAGTCAAAATATCCATATCACTATACACCATGCCTTTTAACAACACGGGAACAATTCTCGGGAGAAATGGGCGTAAATGCTCTCGAAGTTCTTCTTGCTCTGCAAATGCTAACCAAAATTCGCATGCTTCAAGCGCAACTTGTTCGTCTTGGTCTTGAGTGGAATAAAGCATATATTCCACAACATTATTGATTTCAGGCATAAGCTTGTCAGGACGTACCTCAAGCAGCATTACCAGAGCTTGACAAACATTTTTACGGACCTCTGGATTTTCGTCACCGGCCCTTTTGAAGAGAGCCGCCACAAATGCATCAATATGAATGAAAAGAGAATTCGATCGCATGAGAATAAACTGGTTTATGCATGATACTGCGTATACACGAATTTTTACATGTGGGGAATCAAAGAATTCAATTATTTTGGGAATCATGTAATTAAGAGGTCGTTCTCCCTCAATCTCTTGATCCAGTTCTCGTGCGGAATCCTCGCAAATTTTTTGCAATGCACCAAATGCACCCTAAATTAACAACCAATTATTAGCATGCAAGGTTCAAAACAATTAAAGCTTAATATATGTATATACATATAGTAATGAAAAAAATAAAATAAAATAAAATAAAAAAACACTAACTTCTACAACATTATAATCTGGAGATTCTAATAATCCCATCAAACTTGGCAAGACTTGCGGCCAATCTGCTAAACCTCCTCTCGTCACGATTGTGGTGATTACATTTCCGATAATACCTCGGACCATAACATCAGGATCGCCTAACCCCTTAATCGATAATGTCTTTACATATCCGAGCACCTCACTTAGAATTGACGAAAAATGCACACGGATAATATTTTTTAAAAGTAAACCTGCGATTGCACGGGTTGATGCCTCCTCTTGTGGCATCTGAGTGAGAATATAGACAAGATAATTTGGATAATCGGGTATTTTATTAAATGAATCGAGTTTCTAATAATAATAAAGAGGTAAAATTCGTTAAGGACAACCAAATAACTTCGTTAATGTATCTGGGCATGATAGAATAAATTTTGACTGAAGATATTAGTAATGCCAACTACGCAGTGAAATAAATAAGCAATGCAAAATTGGATGGAACAATTCACAGATCTTTGAACATATAACAATTCGCCATGAAAAAAAATTCTAATATGAAGATCTCGATGAATCGTATAAGCGCGTTTGAGCTGCCACTTGAATAAAACTACGCCAATTTATTTAAAATAAGAAAAAAAAGCTTCGAATAAAAGGATACTTGTTGTATCATGGTGTGAATTTCGTTATTTGAGGAGACTGAATCTTTAAGCAGCTGTAACAGCTGTGAAAGCCCTTCCTGTGTTGGTGTCCACTCCATGATATTATCTTTGGTATTCTGATGTTAAAAAATTCACCGGTTTATGTATTTAGTAGTAGTGCTGAACGAAACATGCATTCGTGAATTGCTACTGATGATAAAGACACGTACCTGTGCTTAATCAAATAAACCACGGAGGGCTGAAAGGATGAAATTTTTTTTTTTTTTTTTTTACCTCAGCACAGTAATAAAAAATTAAGTAGGTTGACTAGAAATATTGAAATATTTTTTCTTTCCTTGAAGCCAACCGACCTGTTCCACAACGGTCTAAATTTCGTCATAGAATTTATAATCCTGGATTTTTTATATAAAAATTTTAAATTCTTTTAATAAAACAAAATAAGCTCTTTTAAAATTAATTTTATAATATTTATAATTTAAATTAATATAATTTTTAAAGAAATTGCTAATTAATACTACAGGTAATTATCACCTGTAGTAAAATTATTTTAAAATTTTGCTTATAAAACTACTTTTAAGACTTTAAATAAAAAAATTTTACTATAAACCTTACTAAACTCTAACCCTAATATAAATTCTAACTCTTATTCTAAAGTTCTAAAAAAATATTTTTTATTTATTAAATTGTTTATTTATTTGTTTATATTATATAAACTTATATATTATAAATCACAGATGATTATTATCTGTGATGTTTATTAATTATTTTTAATTTTTAAATATTTAAAAAATAATTAGAAAGTATAGGCTAGATGCTGAGAAAAGAAATAAATTTGACAATTTTTTAAAAGATATTTTTTTTATAAGAATTTCTATTTGTACCCATATAAGAAAAATTAAAAATCGACAATATCTCAAAATTTTATTAAGAAAACCATATGTAGGTACTTTAAGTAAAATTGTTCAGCACTCAATTTTGCATATAAATATATTATTAATTCTAATCTATTCTAACTTATCCTAACCTAATATAGTATATTTTTTTTCATATACCAGGTACCATACCCTATGGGTATTTTTAGTTATTTTCTTTTTTTATATAAATCAATTTAGAATAAAATTAAAATCATTTTTTACTTAAGACATAAAAGTAGTTGTATTAATAAAATTTTGTGATATAGTTCTTTAAAATTTGTATTTTTTTATAATTTATTATAATTTATAACATAAAATTTGATTTTTTGAAGATCTTTTTTTTTGTTAATTTCATCTTTTTTCTTAGCATCTAGCCCATATTAAGCTAAATATATATATATTTTTTTTTGGTGTTAAGGTGGCCTCTTGGCCGGTTTCTTTTATTCGGTTATAGTTAACTTTTACAATATGCGTTTATAGCATCTCGTATACATATTTGGAGAGTACATACT